GACTGGCACTCTGAGGTTCCCTGCTCTTTGTAGATTTGCACAACTGAATTCAACAAGATCTAAGCAGGTGTTCCACGAGTTGTCCTGGCTGATTTCTATCCTCTGCACTGACAGTACACTGTTGATGCTGTCTTTTTTCTAGATCTAAGCATCATTAGCTAAGAGTCATATTCATCTCTGCTAATCTTGATCTAGCAGACCACGAGCACCAGTCACACACTGTTGTTTACTTCAAATCCATGACAGACTAACCCGTTTATCCTGCACTAACCTGCAATGTATTTTCTTGCAGTCTTTAAATAACACAGTTAGTCTGCCTTAGTTTGTTTAGCAACATGTTTCACCATATGAAAAACAGTGTCACATGTACAGACCCAATATTTGATTTAAACACATGATTACATGCAAGCTTTAAATTTACAGTTTATCAAATCTGGGGATAGTGTCTGGCAGCCTAGGGTGATGTGGGGGAGGGCTATGGTCTGAATCAAACCTGATGAATATGTCTTTGTAGGTTCTCACTCATCCAGGTCATGGTAATCTAAGGAGCTTGGAAAGAAAAGCAACTGGACTTCTTTAATTATCTTGAAGATGGTTCATCTCTCATCCTAGAAGCTTCTTCAGCCCAGGTATTAAAACCCTAGTGGGATCTGTCCCTTAGCAGGGTCGCAGACCTACTGTTGATCATGTGCCTCTTTGCATGAGCCGAGGTGAGAAAAAGGGTGTTAGTCATTATATGCAGAGGTTTCAGGTGAAACCATTGTGAGGCCTTACCACACCCATTGAGATCACCTAACTCAAAATGTTAGTGGGCGATCAGGTGCCTGGGAAGGGATCTCAAATCTGCATTGTAGGTGGCTGATAGTTGGTTTCATAAACCACCTCCTCTGTTCAAAGATGGCTGTTCACACTGGACATAGATGGCTTCTTTCACTCCTCTTTCAAACCATCTGTCTCCTCTGTCCAAAATGTCAGCATTGGCATCTGTCTCTGATAAACCTGCTATATAAGGGATGACAATGTTGAAGCGCTACCTCGACAGGACAAGACTCAACTTTATATCTCCATCTAAAGGATAAAGGTCACTCTTTTGAGAATGCCAGTCACTTTTCTTTCAAAGCTTCTTTGATAACCTGTTGAAATAATAATCTGTTCACTCCTTACTGCCATTGTCCTGTGTAGTACCCCCATTATTTCTATGACCTAAAACTTTCTTCAGCCCTGTCCAGATCTCCCTATTGTTGTTTTGCTCCAGTTGCTGTTCTTGTCCTGCCTAATTTGCATTTTAGTTCCTTTTGGATTCGCTCGAGATTGTCTTTGTCCCCTGAGCTAAAAGGCATCTTCTTCTCATTTAGCAAGGCTTGTAGCTCAGGGGTCACCTATGGTTTATTGTTGGAAACCCCCCATATTTTCTTGGAGGGTACTGTGCTCTCCACACAGAAACTGATGTAATCTGTGATGCGCTGCGTCAGACCATCAGTGTCTTCCCCATGTGGACTGCAGAGTACATCCCAGTCTGTGGTCTCGAAGCAGCCCCTCAGCCTTTCACAGGCCTCCTCCAACTAGATTTTCACAGACATCAGTGGTTGATTAATCACATGCTAACGGCCAGCAGCTCAATCTCTGGAATTCTCTGTATTAACTGTAAAAAGACAAACTAAGCACGAAACCACCCACAGTCTGCTTCCTGGGTTCGAATTAGATAGCGAATTAGAAAAAAAAGAAATAAAATAAAGTTTGCTGACCTATGCCCTGCCCTAAACCTAGAAATAGCCAAATGAAAGTAAAATATTGCAGTCACCCACTAGTTGTAAAAAGCTATCTGCCCCACGAACTCTATATTAGTTACGGTTTAAGATTTGTATATGAGAGCACTGTGTGATTTATCCTGCTCTGTTCTAAATCATCAAATACACTATTTTGCATTATACTGTAATAATCTGAGGGATCTTAAGAACTACTATAAGTTTGTATTTTGAACCTGTGTTGAGTTTTCGTACCTGTGATATGTGGGGAGGAAGAGTGGGAGTCTTTCCAGCTGGCCTTGCCTAAAGAATTGTTGTTGATGGAGTCCTGAAAAGAAAGTATGAAACAGAGCAGCAATAAGAATAAGACCAACAACAACAAATGACTGGATTACTAACACAAAAAGTGTGAAATCTTATTTCTATCACATTAGGTACATAACTAGGCCCAAAGTCTCTAATGACAGCAATGCCAGGAAGAGGTAGGAGGACTGATGAGGAAGTGTGTGGCATCATCACGAAAAGGTATGCCAATCCCTCACTGACCAGCCCTCTAAATGACCTCACACTCAAAGGTGCTTCGGATCTGGTCCAGAGGACAGAGCAATGCCAGGTCACCTTGAGAGGGTAATCAGGGTAACCTCTGATCCACACTCCTAACTTGTCTTTATTTTTTATAATATACACCAGAGGTCACCAACAGGTGGACCTGTATTCAGACCCATATGGAGCTGGAGCCACAGCCAAAACAGAAGGTTATTATTTAAAAGCTGACGTGAAGCTTCAATTTTAACTGGTCGTCAATGAATGGTCTAAGTGGACGTGAGTTAAGCAATCCCACAAGACATCACTGAGCTAATCAAGTCTGTGCATTCCAGGCAGTACGCACTGCAAATAACACAGTGGAGTTCCTGGATCAGAGGTCACCAACAGGCAGACTGTGGTCTGGGTCTGGGCATATGTCACATATGGACTTGGATCTAGAGCCAAAAAGTGAAGGTTATGATTTAAAACCTGACGAGGCGCATCTATTTTAACTGGTGGTGCTTTTGTAGTCTTTATGGTAGTGGTTTAGTGGATAAGGGAATGCACAGACCAACTGGATGTGAGTTAAGCAAGCCCTCAAGACACCACTAAGCCAATCAATGCAGACAGATGATAGGCAAGTTACACATGAAAAAATGGTAGAAAAGTAAAAGAAAGATAGTGATACATGTAGAAAAAAGGGAGAGATACAGATGACTCCACCAGAGAAAGCTGAGAAAAAGACGGGTAAGATGGAGAAAGTGAGAATAAAATAAGGAAAAAATTGTTTAAAAACTCTTTTTTTTTTTAAAAAGTGGAAAGCAAAAATGCATGAGTAAGTGCTGGGCCTTTCCAGATGCATTTGGTTTATCTCCAAGCAGACGTGGCCCTGAAAGAACAGATTCTTCCACTTCCTGGCCTCAAATGGTTCCTGGGACAGATTTCTTAGGTCTGATCTTGACATTGTTTGGGTCCACACACAACTGTGAGGCCCAATGAACAAAATCAAAACTAAATAATGTTCAAGGATCAACAATGAGCACCTCTATATGTCTATGAAAATGACCGTGACTCAATTTAAACCCAGGTACAAAATCCTGGCAGTACAAGATACAACTACTAAATTTTCAAACTGAACAAAAAAGTAGGGGGGTTCAACATAAGAGGGGAAAAAAGTGAGACCTCGATGACTTGGAAACATGAAGATGAGAAAGAGGATTAACAGATTTTCTGACAAAGGGCTGAATAAGACGGAGACAATATATATACTGAAAGGTGGCAAGGGAAGTGGAAATGCATGAGAACACAGCAGAAATAAATTAGACGTGACATGACAGGGGAGGCAAAACCAAACACACTGAACACAGGACGAGAAACTGTCAAAAATAAGACAGGAAACACACTGAGAAACAAACGAAAACACAGGGAAGAAACAGACATGTGAACAAGACAGACTCAGGCGACAAAACACAGCGACATGACTCAGAAACACAGAGGACGAGGGCAAAGGCACAAAGGGTGCCTAATAGACAACCAGAAAGTACAATAAACTCAGAGAGATGAAAAGGACTAACCTCAAGTGTAAATTGTATGAAACTTAAATCATTACAATATAAAGAAAGAATTAAATTCTAAATAAACTGAAAAGGCTGGGACAAAGACCCAGAACCCTGACATTTGCACATGTAAAATATAGTTGGGACAAGAGGTGTTTTTTATTCTTGTGCATTTGTTGTGCAGAATATACTCAGAGAATGTTCTCAGCACATTAATAACAAAACAGCACAAAACGGCTTTAGAGACTCAAGATTTTGCTGTTTCAAAGATTTTGCTGTTTCAGACTGAGGAGCTTACAAACCTACACTGGAAACCCTTTATCAATAACAAATACAAATTCTAGTGAAGAATATACTTTAAGGGCATTGTACCAGACTACAATATACATTATATACATGTTATTTTCATGTATAGCATTGAAATACACTACCCTGTCAGTGAGGTACCAAACAAAAAGAGATACAAAACAACCACAATCATGTAAGATAATGACAGACACCGAAAATAATTCCCAAAATAGAAAAAAATGACCATGGATATTAAAAGACAACCACAGACACTCAATAACCACTAAGTGACACAAAGTGACACAAATGACCCTAACATTAACAATGTTAATCCATAACAGTTTCTGTCTTTGTCATCAGGTCACCTCCTGATGACGCAAACAGAACCACATCATCTGCAAAGAGCAGAGAGACACTTCTGACTAAGGGCGTCCACCCAGACATCCCCTCCTCTGTCATGATTTGATAACCTGCAGAATACTGCAGATGAACAAACATAGAATCATGTATGCAAACATGTATGGACGTTCCTTTCTACAGCTATGTGCAAACATGCAGTAATGGAAAGGAGAATGTGTATTTGGCAGCTCAAATGTTTATGTTTTGTTTTTGATCAATAGCATCGATCTACAGCAGAGATATAGAAAAAATATAACGGGATCCAGTTAGAGAAAATTTCTTGAAGCAAAGGTCTGGAAAATCATAACATGTAGAAACTGCACCATCAAATATTTCTACATTTTGCAGGCCAAGCAAAGTGTGGCTCTGTCAGTGGCTGATGCAAAAACTGGTTGTGGGAGGAGTTCAGTGAGACCATGGAAAAATACTTTTGGTCAGCCTCAAAGCAATTCTGGCAAAACATCAGGTGACTGGAGGGGGAAGTAGTGCTCCACTCACACTGCACACAGCCGTAGTGGGACTCTGCTGACCTCAACTGAGACTATAGTCAGGCAGTGGAAGGAACAGCTTCACAGATCTCTTAAATCCCTCAGTCACATCTTCTGTGATAGAGGCAAACTCTGGGGGTGAGAGGAATGACTGTTCTACCACTAGCTGTTAGGTCACTCATTTACTTAGACAACTGCTCAGCTGCAGGGCCCCTAGAGTAGATGAGATTCGCAGAGCGTTCTTGGAGTTCCTGGATATTGTAGGGCTGTCCTGGCTGACACATCTCTGCAACATTGTGTGGAGGTCTGGGGAAGTGCCTCTGGACTGGCAGACTGGGATGGTGGTTCTTTGTGGTTCACTGGGAAAATTTATAGTGGTGTGAAAACAATGTTTGCCCCTTTTCCTGATTTCCCATTTTTTTTTGTATGTTTGTCACATTTAAATGTTTCAGATCATGAAAGAAATTTTAAATATTAGACAAAAATGACACAAGTAAACACAAAATGTATTTTTAAAATGAAGGTGTTTGTGATTAAGGGGTAAAAAAAAATCCAAACCTACATGGCTTTGTGTGAAAAAGGGATTGCCCCCTAAACTTAATAACTGGTTGGACAACCCTTAGTGGCAACAACTGCAATCAAGCATTTGCAAAAACTAGCAATCAGTCTTTTACCGGACTGTGGAGGAATTTTAACCCATGTGTCTTTGCAGAATTGTTGTAATTCAGCCACACCGGAGGGTTTTCGAGTATGAACTTGCCTATTTAAGGTCATCCCACAGCATCTCAATCGGATTCAGGTCAGAACTTTGGCTAGGCAACTCCAAAGTCTTCATTTTGTTTGTCTTAAGCCATTCAGAGTTTGACTTTCTGGTGTGTTTTGGATCATTGTCCTGCTGCAGGACCCAAGTGCGCTTCAGCTTGAGGCCAAGAACAGATGGCCGGACATTCTTCTTCAGGATGTTTTGGCAGACAGTAGAATTCCTGGTTCCATTTACCACAGCAGGTCTTCCAGGTCATGAGGCAGCAAAACAGCCCCAGACCATCACACTACCACCATATTTTACTGTTGGTATCATGTTCCTTTTCTGAAATGCTGTGTTATTTGTATGGCAGATGTAACGGGACGCACACCTTCCAAAACATTTTTCACACATATAGGTTTGGATTTTTTTCCCCCTTAATAGCGAAGACCTTCATTTAGAAACTGCATTTTTTGTTTGCTTGTGTTATCTTTGTCTAATATTTAAATTTGTTTAATGCTCCAAAACATTTGAGTGTGACAAACACACACAAAAATAGGAAATCGGGAAGGGGGGCAAACATTTTGTCACAGCACTCTAGGCAAGGGTACTATAGAGGAGGGTCCTTTTTTTTAGTTGAACCTTAGATTCAGGATGAACAATGCAGTTTTCATCCTGGTCGTGGAGCACTGGACGAGGCAATTCAGTCCCTGTATAATCATAACGAGAGGTTTGGTCCTAATGCTGGCAGCATGTTGAACTTCTTTCAGATGGCTGTTGGACTCCACCAGGGCTGCCCTTTTCACTAATTCTTTTTACAGTTTTTATATACAGAATTTCTAGAACTTGTCTTGCCTGTCCTTCCCCTTCATACCACCATTCACTGAGCGTAACTCCAGATTGCAACAGAGTTCAGTTCCTCTCAGCAAGACTGGTTCCAGAGCTTATGCCATGCATTGAGGTAAATCCTATTTTATCTAGTCCATCTCCTCAACGTCAGGCACTAGCTGGGGCTTCTTTTCCACCAAAGAGCTGATGTTTCATGTACCAAGAGCTAGTTTTAGTAGTCAGGAATTGGACTGCCAGGGCCTCCATTTTTGACTGCTGACATACTCACTGGCACTGGACACTTATGGCACATTCTGTGGGTGGTGAGCCCACAGGAGATGTAAAAAATAATGTAAAATGTAAAAATGTATTAGTTGAACACACAAAAAGCATACTAGTTAAATGTTAGGTGGTTTTAGCTTGATTTAGCTTTTAACTGTTTTATTTTACAATTTGAAACCTTACAAATAGACAAGCTGTCTGAAAGTTAGTGTTTACAAGCAAAATATACTTATCTATAGTTTAATAACTTCTGAAAGCATGCAATTTAAAGGCAACATAAGCACATAAGAATTACTTTATACCAATTTATTAAATACTTTCCACCAGACCATTTCAGATTTACCTGAGAAGGTAAAGGTATGTTTTTCAAAAGGAATTGTGTAAAATCTCAGGTCACTACTGTAAAGAGTTTGCTCAGAAAAACAGAAGGAGAGTGAGAAAGCAGCCCTGTAAATTTACTTGATTGTACATGACATTAAATATGTATAATTTAAATAACCTATATGAATGTGTTGACTCATAAGTAACTCAACAAAGCTAAGGAAGATGCAATGACAGAAAGAAGGGATAACACTGAAGGTGTCATGGTCCTGGGTCCCCTGACCCAGCGTTTTTTAGTTCTTTGTGATTTTTGTATTATTGTACTTGTGTGTGATCTATTCTATGGCTTCTAGTTTTGATCCCTTGCCCTTCATGTCTCTCTGTGTCTCCTCTGTTCTGTGTAATTGTGTGTCTTTGCGTGTTTGAGTTTCTTGTTTTCTGTCACTCTGCATTGTGCATTATGTTCTCATGGTTGGTTTTTTGTTACTCTCTCTAGTCTAGTCTCTCGTGTTCCCAGCTGAGTATTTCCCTGTGTATTTTGGTTCTTAGACCTCTGCCTTATGGTTTATGTCTCTGTATTTCTTAGTTGCTGTCTCCACTGTGTCAAGTTCGCGTCTCTGTGTGATACTTCCTGTTTTACTTTGATGATCCGTGTCTCATGTGAATGCGTCCTGCTTTGCTTGTCTCGTCAGTCCTGATTTCTCCCAGCTGTGCCCTCCTTCTGTGTCTCATTCCCCTCGTTACTTCCCATTCCCCTCGTTACTTCCCAGTGTATTTAAACCCTGTGTTTCTCTGAGTCAGTGTCGCGTCGTCCCTCATGCTGTGTGGATCTCTGTGAGTTTTCTAAGTTCCCAGTCTAGATTAGTTTGTATGTTTTTTTTCCCTGCCAGCAAATAAAGCTGAGTTTTGAGTTCACCTCCCTGAGTCTGAGTCCTGCATTTTGGGTCCAACTCCTGCCTGCCGCACAGCGATTCATGACAGAAGGGGTGTTAGCTACCATCCTATAGACTAGATTATTCTGGTGTAATTTTAATCAAATGTCCAGAAGTTAGTTAAGGTATTCGAGGTTGGCAAGGCAGTGCAGTATACCTATATTAAGTATATATTTAATAGGATGGTAAAAAACAACAACAAAAAAACTGCTTTTCCAAGTGTCCTTGAGCAAATCCCCCAGCTAACCCAACCCCTAGCCGTTCAGCTGCCATGATACAGACTGATTTATCAGGACCGCCTCTCTAAATAAAAGCATGTGTGGAGAATTTGTGAAAAAAACAATAACAATCAATAAACAGGAATCTACAGCATTTGACTATGTGCCAGCACACGCATAAACACAAAATATACACGGATACACAACAAGCCACTGCTGTCTCATCCTCAGGACTGGATCCTCCCCGGAAATGCACAGAAATACGGTTATTCAGCTGGATGCTCAGATGTCTCATTCCAAATACACAATCCAACCATGACACACACTTTCCACAGCACCCCACAGCTCCTTTTAAAAACAGGCCTCCTACCTGGGTGCCGGCTTGTGGCAGCTGTGGGAACAGGGCCAAGGTAGTTGGTCTCTTTGGTCGATATTTGTCCATGACAGCATAGACGGATCCCCCCTTGACAAATGACAGCTTCCTTTCTCCCTCCCTCCCCCTCCTCTTCTCTTTTATTAAGCCAATGTTCGCACTGCTGCTCAGACAGACCCCCCACCCCACCCCCCCACCCCACCCTCCAACCACCTCTACCTCCCTCTCTTTCCGTTATTTTCCTTTTGTCTTCTCAGCATCGATCAGCGCTGAGCTCAGCCTCAGGGCACATCTCTTTCAGTCCTTTCTTGCGTTATCATTCGGCATCCACAGCGTCAGACTACCATAATCATCATCATCATCACCACAGTTATCTTCCTGATGATGTGGAAATGGAGACGAGAGGAGACAGAAGGAGAAAGAGAAGTGGGTGGTGTTGGGTAGTGATGGAGTGAATGAGGGCTGAAAGAGGAGGAGGAAAAGAACAGAGATGCAGGGAGGAGGGGGAGTTCTGTACCAGCCAATCAGGGAAAAGCATGACATCATCAACTGATCTGCCTGTGGTGCTTTCTGATTTGAGGCTAATAAACATTGTGATGTTGTGGGCATGCATATGTGCTTGTGACCCAGTAAAATAAGATTAGACAGTAATATGAAAATTCAAACAAAGGAAATAGCCCAGTGAGCAAACCAGACAGTCGGCCTACAACACAGCTGAAGAAAAGATCAGCCAGTAAACTGAGAACCAGTTAGTGAAACACACAGATTTTAAAAATAAATAAATAAATAAAACAACAGTCCACAAATCAGTTAGTTATTCAGTGAACATCACGAACAAGCCTTTTCACATGATTCACAGTAGTCAGTGACTAAAACCAAGGCCAGAGGAGGGAGCATGTAAATAACAGTATACAGATCATTAATTTTATTATAAAACACTTGGAAAGTCATCTCCATTACTACTTTTTGGTGATTTTACCATAATCCACATCAACCCCATATACTGATCCAAAAAAACTGACAGATGAATGTTTTATTTACCATTTTGCCCAATCATGTACTGTTGGCTGAAGCAAAGGAACAGAAGAGGGAAAAGCATGTTAGGAGGCAGCAAGAGAGAAGGAGGGGTGTGAGATTGTGGATGTGAGAGTAGGGACTCTAAATGTAGACGCAAGGTAGATATACTGTGTGTGCAGAAGACCAGTTGAAAGAAAAGCAAGGCTGGAAACATTGGAGGTGGATTCAACTGTTCTATGAAGAGAACAGCTGGCGAGCACTGAGGGTCATGTTTTTTGACTTTTCCAGTGC